CAGTATTAGTACCTGCTATAATAAGTCAATTTTTATTGTGTTGTTATATGATTGTACCATAATATTGTAACGCTTATTATTTTTGTAAGTACTTTTTAAGTCTCTTTGTAAGTACACATATAGTATTATATTATTATACGACTTTATCATAGCCATAAAATATTATAATAATTCATGTGTTATTACAAAGTCATCAAAAAGAAATCAAATCTTACTTATATTTTATGACATAATGAATAACACAAAGAAAATTGATTTAATATAGCAAGATACAAATACTTGAAAAACATTCAAGTTTTTCCAGACATGTTGTGAAATAAATTAAATATACAATTATAAAATACTTTTTATGTTCAATCTAAAATTGATATATATATAATAAAGAGTATATCATATAGTATAGTAGTATATAATATAATTGCTTAATAATATAAAATTAAAAATGCTTTTACAATGGTACAAAAAAGATTTTAAATGTTAGAGTGACTAAGGGTTTTTTTTCATTGATGCTAACTTTAATCATAACAGTTAGTTAAAATATATAAGTAAAATCAGGTCATATCAACGTTGTTTATAAATTATTAATACCTTGCTATAATTTCTATGTATATATATATATATATATATATATATATATATATATATATATATATATATATATATATATATATATATATATATATATATATATATATAAATTAGACCCTGTGATCCACAATTTTTAGTTTCGAATCAAATCACAATTCAAAGTCACAAGTCCAATCAACATTTTTAAGGAAATGTAAGTTAAACTAAAATATAGATATTCTCAAAGAGCTTATTTGTTTCGAGATTCAATTTGATTTGAAAATCGACGCCTGATTCAATTAGGATTCGATTCAATACCAAAAAAAGTAATTCGTAGGGGCCTATATATATATATATATATATAGTTAGTTAGTTATAATAAGTTGCAACGCGAGCTTATCGGCTCATACGTAAGTAACCCATCCGAGGATAAGCCACAGTAGCAACATTGCTAGAGGTTGTCCAGCCAATTCTTAAATGCATTAACCTGTTTTGCGTTTACTGTATCGTCGGATAGCGAGTTTCAACAGTTTACAATTTTGTTGGTGAAGAAATTGCTTCGCAGTGCGCTGTTACGGACTAATTCTTTGCTCAGTTATTTTCTACGAACCGCTCTTGGCTTTCTTACGATTGTTGGTACACACCATTTTGTTTTGTTGATTCTTTTTAATATTTTCAATTGTTAAATAAGGTCGCTCCTTTGTTGACGCATAGTCAGACTAGTTAGGTTGAGTTTAATTAGCTTTACTTCATAGATATGTTGCCTCATCGCGTGTCCAATCTTGGTGACTCGTCGCTGAACTTTTTCCAGTGTTTTTTGATCCTTTTTCGTTGATGGTGACCAAGTGCAAACTGCATATTACAAATGTGGTCTGATATATTTTGTATAGAGTTTTTTCCATAGTGCTGGACCTCACGATATAAACGTATTTTTTAACAGTTCAAGAAACTTATTTGCGTTGGATGTGGTTTTATTGACTTGTTTTCTGGCTTAGGATCTTGACTTATTGTGACTTCATGGTCTATTTCTATTATCGTTGTTGTTAGATCTCTTTATTTGCCTGATGGTGGATCTAGCATGGTGTATGTCGCTGATTTGTTTGTTTATCCAATGTGCATCACTTTCAATTTACTAAGATTAAGCTGCATTTGCCAAAAGCAGGACCAATCATTTATTGGATTGGTGCTATTAAAATTGTGTTATCCGCAAACATTTTGCAGTTAATGTTGTCTGGGATGTCGTTAATGAACAATGGAAAATAGATATAGTTTTAGCACGGATCCTTGGATAACACCGCTAGACACTGGTGTCCATCCTGATGTTGTGTCACATAGAACAACTTGCTGTCGTTGATTTGTTAAAAATGAGTGAATTCATGCGAGCAGTTGACCTGTTATTCGATATTTGCTCAGTTTTTCAATAAGGCTAGTATGCTGTACTAAATCAAATGCACGTGAAAAGTCCATAGTTTCTAAAAGTTTTATCGTACAGGATTTATTTGGGACAGAAAAGGTTATTTTTGGCATTTGGGATTTATTCGCTACAGAAAAGGTTATTTTTTGTGAAGTGGTTGTTAAGTTCATTCCTTACTATTTTCTCCATAATTTTGCATGGGACCGAAGTCAAGCTAATTGGTCTATAGTTTACGGGATCTGTTGGGCTTCATTATTTAAATATTGGCGTTGCGTTTGCATCTAGCCATGCTGTTGGTATATCTCTTGAACCCAGTGATAAATTAAATATGATCGATAAATGCTTGGCGAATTCGGTGGCGAGTGCTTTTAGAATGAATGGGTGAACGTTATCTGCTCCTTGTGATTTGTTTCCATCAATTTGAAGTAACAAACTTTCTACTTTGTCCTCCGTGATTTTTATTTCGTCTATCCTCTTATTTGTTCAATGGTCAAGTGTGTTAATTTGTACGTGGTATCTTTTACTAAAGACGGACTCGAATTGGTGATTTAACATATTGGCTACGTCCTTTTTACTGTTTTTTCGTTAACCGTTGTCAGTTTTGCAGGCTTGTATTGAAGTTGATATTTTTAATTTGCTTTTTATATATGAAAACAGAGTTTTGGGATTTTTTTTGTTGTTTGCTTAATTGAACTCACAGTTTTTTTTTGCGTTTTTGGATGTTTTTCTTATATCTCTACTTGCATTATGATATTCCTTTTCAAGTTCAGTTTTTTTTTCCATTTTGAGGCTACGTTTTGCTTCCATAGCGTTGTCTTAAGTTGAAATAAATTTTTTTAGGTTATTGGTCACCCATGGTGCTCCTTTAATTGTTAAATTTATTCTTTTTTTGGAATGCATTTTTCACATAGACCATAGTACAAGTTAAGTAATTTATCATAGCTTTCATTTTCGGTTAAGTTATCGAGGAAATTTTCCCATAAGTAACTTTACCTTGCCAATGCTTTTTCTAATTGCAGTATCGGTTGACAGATCATTTGTATATCTTGAGAAAGACGGTGGTCGATAAAAACATCCTATTAGAATGTTTTCGTTGTTTATGTTTAACGAACGCCGAATTTGCTCGCAGTTTGTGTCTGTTAATTATTTATAATTAATTTCAACAGATGGTAGGTCTTTGCTAACATAAATTGCGACTCAACTATAATAGCCCTCTCTATCTTTACAAAACACATTGTAACAGTCCAGATGTGGGACTGATTGGCTTGTGAACCATGTTTCACTTACTAAAATTATGTGGGGGCAGTTGACTATGACATATGCTGTGAGTTCGTTAAGTTTGTTTGCATTTAGAGATGTTACATTGGTGTATATACATCTTATATGCTTATCATTATTTATTGCCGCTATCAAGTTATTTATTGGTTGCAAGTTTGTGGTATCGTGTGGCAAACTTAGCGGTATTGGTTTTTTGCTGCTGTGATCAAATTGATATTTGATGATGATGTTCCGGTACAAATTGATAGGTCGAGATGTTGTCGTTGAGCATTGTTTAATAATATTAATAGACTGTTAGCTGACAACAAGTTTGTGGCGTCATGTGGCAAACCAAAATGGTAAAGGAATTTACTTTTCTTTATTTTGATCACGCTAATATTTGATGATGGAATTGTGGCATAATTTAGCAGGTTGAGATAATGATGTTGAGCATTGCTTGCTAATATTACTAAGTTGTTGATTGGTGACGAGTTTCCATTGAGTTGTTTTTCTTGTGTACATATCAATGAGGCTGCAGCAATTTGTATTGTTTGATTATTTTGCTAAAAATTTGATTGGTCTTTTTTGTGTGGCACCCGCACGAGTACCCCATTGCGTATCCCCCGATATTAGCGCTTCCCATTTCTTTCTTTTTTGTATCTTAAAGTTTTTTCGTTTTCTTTTTCAACGTGAGTTAGTTTGCTGTTACTCTAATCTCTTTCAATTTTCTGTCTCGTTCTGTCTTTTGTGTGTTTTATTTCTATCAATGCACACGTTGTCGCAACTTTCCATTGTTCTTAGCTTGCTACTCTTCTTTAACAGTTCAATTTGGCTATTATGGTTATCGAGTAATACTATTGTTAGTGTAGATCGTTTAGTTGCAATTATTGTCTTTGCAAATGTGTTGGTTGTATTTGTTGCTCCATTTGATGAGTCTACTTGGTTCTGTTTTTTGAGTCCAAGGGCAACTATTAGTGATTCGACGCTTTTCTTATCTCGTTTTTTTCTATCTGTGTCTCTTGGCGCCATAATGCTGGTGAAATATGGGGTTGTAGTTTTGAATTTGTTACCAAAAATTATATCATTTATATATTATTAGTTGCTATATCTTATTAACATAAATGGAACTGTCAGATTTTTTGTGTTTTTTCCTTATATATATATTTATATATATATATATATATATATATATATATATATATATATATATATATATATATATATATATATATATATATATATATATATATATATATATATATATATATATATATCAAGCAAACATCAAGCAGGCGGACCAACAACGGACCGCCCTTACGGAAAATTTCCATGAAAAAACCCATGAAAAAAAACCATGGAAAAACCATGGTTATTTGGAACACGTTTTCATGGGAAACGCATGAGTTTTCCATGGGAAACCCATGAGTTTCCTATGGGAAAACTAAATTTTATCACACTAATATTATTGAGTTTTCTAAATCAATGGGATCGCTTTTTCCGATTAAAATCAATAAACAAAATAAAATTTAAATCTTGTTAAATCCTACAAATTTTTGAAAAATAATAGCTATAATGCACCTAAAACATCAAAACTTGACTTCCCCACAATATTTAGTGCATGCATATGTATAACATACTGAAAATAAATAAAACAAAAAATTACAAGTAATATAATACTATAAATGATATACATAGTGATAAACAATTGAAATATAAAAGAAAACAATTTTTACAGAAAATAAAATAATTTACATGTTTATTATTTTATATTAACTATTTGATAAAAATAGTATATATAACTTTTATAATAACATCAAATTTTAATGATGAAAACATCAAGCCCATTTATAAATGCGTCTGTACTGTATCTATAGAAACAGGTAGATGTTAAACAAAGTACCATTCACATTTTGATATTCATTATTTTTTTGACCGTAGTTAGTCTCATTCTCCATTTCACCAATCTAGACAATACATCATACAACTATTATATACATTCTAACTAGTTTTCTTTATTTACTAATTTATTTTACTTATAATTATTATCTATTATAACTTACTTTATAATTAGGCATTATTCACAATTATGAATGTTGCCAAATGTTAAGTAACATTTATATAGAAAAAAGTAGCAATGAATATATCATTATTTATAAATAAATATTATTAGATTGTTACCTCTTTTTCGCCTAAGCTATTTGCATTATGTACAACATCGTTTATATTTCCAGTCAAACATTCCTGCCTATGTAACTTAATTAAAATGATTTATCCAAACTAATACATATATAAATGTTACCTGCATGTTAGAAATATTCATATAGAACAAGGCAGCAACAAATATTATATTATATATTTACTTTTGCAATAAAAAACTTACTTCTTTTTTTGAGCTATCTGCATAATGTACAACATCATTTAAAAACCTGTTTTCTTCACGCCCTCACCATCTTTTCATATATTATAAAGCAGTGGACTTGTTAACGAACGGCTAAATAAATAAATTAAAAACTTATATTGCCAGTCAAACCTGCCTGCTAATAATGTAGTAATTTAAATACATATATAAATTTTACCTGCATATTAGTAACATTTAAATAGAACAAGGCAGCAACATAGCAACATATAGTATAACTTATAAATTGCAACATATAGTATAACTTATAAATTGTAATTTTAAGTAAAAACTTACTTCTTTGTCTGAGCTGTCTGCATGATGTAAAACATTATTTATATTGTCAGTCAAACTTACCTGCTTATAATGCAGTAATTTAAATAAAATGATAAAAATAAAATAAAAGAACTTACACACACACCATTAAACTCAAAAATTTGTTATATTTTTACTTTACTATTTAAAACATAACAAATATGTAATTTATAAAGTACAGTAATGTAAAAGCATAATAAATATCAAAGTGTGTGCATAAATTAATTTATTCTAACTAAAGATGAGCACTTTACATTAGTTAAATATAAACAAATAAAAATAATTGTATTATAATAAATAATAGTGTATTATAATAAATAATAGTGTATTATTTATAAGCATTGCTTTTATATGCTTATACTTAACTATGAAGTAAAATCTTGTGCATTAATTAACTTCCCTTTCTGATACTTTTAAAATATTACCACAGTTTTCCTTGTCCAACTAAGTGGTTCTTCGAACATCCTTACAAGTTGAATCCCAAAGATTACGTTTATATCTTTTCTGGTTAATATAAAATCAATTCACCATTTTATTTGACAGCTTTTGAATTATTTTTAAAAATATTAAATGCATATAAAAACTGACGATGTTATAAACAATATAAACGATGAACAACATTATTTATATTGCCAGTCAAACCTTTCGGTTTATAATGTAGTAATTTAAATAAAATAATAAAGTAAATATAAAAGAATTTATAAACAATATTTATTTTACATTATTTACATATTCTAATAATTCTAAAGAAAAAACAACAACAAAAAGACAAAAACAACTTAACAGAACTAAAATTGAATAGAACATTTTTAATAAAAAAACGTTTATTAATACTTAATGAACATTTACTATACAATAAACTTCAAGCATTTTAATGTAATCTAAGGCTATTATAAAAAAAAAATAAAAAAGATCATACTAGTTATCTTTTGTACATTAGTTTTCTATTCTAATTATCTTAGTTATCTAATCTTATCTGATATACTGCTAATATATTAATATTTTAGGTAAGTTTGTTTAATATGTTAGATAAGTTTTATAACAATAATTATATTAGTTTTAATGTACATTAGATTACACAATGTACATTAATACACTAGTTATTTTATGTAGATTAAACATTTACTAAACATTTACTTGTTGTAAACCAAATAATAATTATTTGGCAAATAATTTGCCAAGTAAACATTAAAATTCAAACTGGTCTACTTGAAGTACTTGCTATACTATTGCAAGTTATGTAAAGTAAGCAAAGCTTCTGGAAACAGTTAAAATAAGTATATGCATAATTCATATATAATTAAATATAATTAAAAATAATCCATTTTATAATGCATTATAATATGATAAATATATCTAGTTGTTTATGTCTGTATGTTTAGTTTGAATCATAAAAATGTGATTCATTATAAAAAACATATAATTTATAGTCTTATTAAACATTTACATCGGTTCGTTAGCGAAAAACTGAAGGCGATTCGACAGAGGACCGGTGGCGGCAAATCGATAACGTTTGAACAACGGTCCGTCAGCGGCTAACCAATGATAAAGCCATAGCGGAATAGTATAGGAGTTTTGACTAGGATTTGAATGCATTGATATACATATATATATATATATATATATATATATATATATATATATATATATATATATATATATATATATATATATATATATATATATATATATATATATATATATATATATATATATATATATATATATATATATATATATATATATATATATATATATATATATATATATATATATATATATATATGTATACATATATATATGTATACATATATATATGTATACATTGATATACATATATATATATATATATATATATATATATATATATATATATATATATATATATATATATATATATATATATATATATATATATATATATATATATATATATATATATATATATATTTGTTTGAATAGAATGGACTTATTGTTAGCAAAAACCTTTATATTTTTCAGCTTAATTTTTAAAATACATCAAATACTTTTTGACTTTTTGCATAGGTATATAGACAAAATACGAATGTATTATACTAAAATTCTCCTACCACCGAAAAACACTACCCCAACTGTAAATCATTAGGCCATACATGGCAAGGCTTAAGCTCAGTGAACAAAAAGACTAATCGGAATTTATAATAAAAATCATTTTAAGATAGCAATTTAAAATTACAAGATGAGTATTAAAATAACAATAATTTTTTTTTAAATAAAAAAAAAATATAAAATATATTTGCATCTATTGCTTCACTTGCGTTTAGCGAACGTTTAAAATATAAAAAATTTAATTTTCAACATATCTATAAGTTCAGTTTATTCTCATTTCAATCGAAAACTAAATATATTCAGGAAACCATGTGTTGAAAATTGATTTACGTTGCAGTCTGCAGACATCTAACTTTCACCTAAAACCAATGATATATAATAAAAATATTGAAAGTTGAGACATTAAGACTTAAGACACAAGTGCACATCTAAAAAAGAAAGAATCAGAGACAGAACACATCAATAAAAATGTATTTTGATAAAATAAAATATAGTTTGCACATTGAACATAGTTTTTAACAAAAAAACTATGCACAATATAATATACTATATTATATACTATATATAAAAACACCTTGAAAAATATAAAAAGTCAAATAATTGATTGAAACAAAACGGTTTAGTAAATAAGTATATAATTTTTTTTTAATAAGTTATTTGTAAGCATATAAAGAGCAAATAAATATGTTTAAAGAAAATATGAATTAAATCCAGTTTGCAAACCTTATACCCAACGCAATATTTGGATCATGGTCAACATAATTTAATAGGTAAAAGATTTCCTGTAGATAAAAAAATTTTAAATCATAAATGTAACATTAAATTACAAGCATGTTTGAACGGAATTGTTACAGCAATCCTTTAAAATAATGGCTTGTAAAATAAAAATTTTGTTAGATTTTTATTCATCTGCTTTACCGCTTAAGTACCAAGTTTATATAGCTTTCCATCAATAACTTTATATTTTAAAGTTTATAATTATATTTAAATTTAATATAATCAAACAAATCAAACAGTAGACAGACTCCAGAACTTATGATTTTTTTTATAAATAACATTAAAACAAATATTATCAAAATAATAAAATTAATTTTACTTAACAACGTATCATTCAATACCACGATTTAAATTCTCATCTACAATCTCATATACAAGAGGTTACTGTAAAAGGTAATGAATATGAAAAACATGGAAACAGTAATACTCATTGCACAAAAACTTTACTTCGTAGAGTTTAAAAATTAAAATGTTTAAAAACAAATTAAATATTGTAAAATAAAGATAACAAATTTGTATATAAAGATGCTTATTTTATTTAACAATGTTACTCACCTTCTGAACTAAAAAATGCCTCTTTATTTAATGGCGTTAGAAAATTTGATGAATGCATCACTTTCTTCTTGGCCTGTTTGTTTTTTTGGTCTTGTCTAACTTTTTGTCCACCATTGCGGTCTGATGAACCACGCAAAAAATGCACAACCTCATGTTGAAAATCTGATTCAGTTGCTGAAGTTGTTGCAAGATTTCTTTTTACAGCTCCTAAAATTTAATTTAAGACTTTTATTTAACTATCCGTCAGGAAAACAAAAAATATATTTTGACAAAATGACAATACTATCCTCCAGTTATATTGGTAACAGGTACGAAAGACTTTGAATTAGAGTGCGTGGATCATTTGGCAACTCAGGAAACAATTTACCCAAAATTTTGATATTCTGAAAGCTTAACTTTAATATTATATTATTACTGTCATTTTTTATATATGCACATTTTTTTTAATCTATTTTTAATTTTTTTAAATATTTATCAATCCTTTTAGAAGTGCTACTTGTTTTTTTAGAATAGGTTCTTGCTCACATTTAGAAGTTCGTTCTCTTATATGAAATTTCATTGTTATTCTTTCTCCTTGCACATCAATTAGATTTTAATCTTGATCAATTAATGAAGTTTCCATATCACGAATATCTCCTCTTAGAGATAGGTAAGTAAATTGGAACATTTGGTTTTTCTTCAAGTTTAGTTCCAGGAGCTACAGAGGGGTAAAATGATAAAACAGAAGTTTTTACATTAGTTTTCACTAATTTCTATTTTCTACCATAATCTCTTAATAGTCATTTGAATAAATTACTAAACAAATACGTTTCAGCTTTTATATAACTTTTGTTCGATACTATTAAGCTAAAACTTTATACTGGTTGATGATAAAATCACCGAATATTTGTAAATAAAATAAAACAATGAGCTCAGTGATTTTTTTTTTAAATAAACCAATCAAAACGCACACAAAATAAGATAGCATTTTTTGAAAACAAAAGGGCCTAAACGCTTTATTTTCCTTTTGATCTTTCCTTTACTACGCTGAGTAGAGTTCTATCTCTGTTTTTTAACGTTGTGAAAATTTAACTTTCAACTTTTAATTAAGCAAATGTTTTACATTTGTTGTTGTTTATATTGATAAAATATATGCTTTTTATTTTATTTATGTTTTATAATTATTCTTATATTGTTAATTTCATATTCTCCTTTCTTACCGTGACGCAAAATATGTCCAAAAGCTCGTTTCAAACCTGGATCTCCTCCTTCTAAAGTTTTTAAAGTCAGATAGATAATATTAATACGAATAATATATTAAAAATATATAAGTTTGAACATGCAAAAAACATTATATTAAAAAAAAATCTATATTAAATTTTTTTACAATGAAAATTTGGAGATTATTATTTGAAGAGAGACTTATTATTCTCATCTACCAATATGCTGTTTTGTCATATACCAATTTATATTACTTTATAAATAAAAATGTTTATTCTAAGCACTAAATTTAAGAAAATTAGTATATCGATATTTTTATTTGTGGAATTTAATAAATTTTCAAATTTTTTTTTAAAAATATAATAGCGTATAACAAATTTTGTTAAATTCTCTTAACAGTAAAAGTTAGAGATAGAACTCTATTATTCTAACGTCAAAATATATAAATACACTATATAGATAGAACATGCAAGAGAGTGCCAATACATTTACTACATGTTTGGGTTTAGACGAAATTTTTAAATAAGCAAAAAACGTGAACAAGGCATTTCTCTCTCTCTCTCTCTCTCTCTCTCTCTCTCTCTCTCTTTCTCTATCTCTTAGGTTGTTAACCGTACATTATGTTTATAATTATGGCATAATATAAATTAATTATAAATTATGGCATATTATATATTAATGTATGAAAATTTATATATATATATATATATATATATATATATATATATATATATATACATACATATAAATATATATATATATATATATATATATATATATATATATATATATATATATATATATATATATATATATATATATATATATATATATATATATATATATGTATATATATGTATATATATATATATATATACATATATATATATATATATATATATATATATATATATATATATATATATATATATATATATATATATATATATATATATATATATATATATATATATATATATATATATATATATATATATATATATATATATATATATATATATATATATATATATATATATATACGTATATATATATACGTTTTTTTATATAAATATAAAACAGATATATGCTTACATGTTTGCCTATTAAGGTAACAGCGTAAAACGTATTGTGTACAGTAACAATTCTGTTGAAAACCGCGGTTGTACAAAAAATACAGCTCGATGCAAAGAAAGTGCTTTTTTTGACACTACATTAAAGAAAAGAATAAACACGCCTCCATGTTGCAGAGAAAAGTTGTTAGAGATGTTAAAGCATTTTACAAACGAGCTTCAAGAACTACATATATCGCATATGTTAGCGTTTGGAGCCGTTATTGGATGGGCTCGAAACGGAAAAATGGTTCCATACGACAACGACATTGATTTAATACTTAATCGAGAATTTTGGAAAACTCCATTGTTTTACAATGTTATAAACAAACTGGAAACAAAATATGGATACAAAACATCTTTTGCTGATGATGGAGCAAAACTTCGGATAAGATATAGTCCAATTAACTATAACACAATTGAAGCATGGCCCTTTGAAATAATTAAACGTGGAAATATTGCCGAAGTTTCAATTCCACATTATGGTTGGAAAAAGCAACCGTTTGAAAATCTTTTTCCAGAACGATATGTAAGTTTTGATAATGTAATGACTTTTGTACCACGTGATACAAACAGTTATTTAAACATTTTGTATAGTAATTGGACGAGTGAATTAGATTGCTCTTTTAAAAAAGATAACAAATGCGTTAATAATAGAAATTAACGCGTTAAAACATTTCTTTCCTTTAAAAACTGAGTTGCTGTTATGATAGTTTTAAATAAACTTTGTAAATTAAAAGATTGTCCGAAAATTAGTTATATGAAAGTTTTACTATTTAAATAAAAATTAAAACAAAAGTACAAAGAATGTGTATCTTTGTGTGTGTATGTGTAGCTGGGCGGGTTTGTTGGTGGGTGAGTGGGTGAATTGTGAGGTATTTGAAAATCTAGTAATGTATTTTGACACGGTTATAAAAGCTGAAATACAGTCTGCTTTACTAAAGTGATAAACCTTGGTTTTAATTTGATAAGACAATCAACTTTATAGAAACTGGGTCAATATATTCAGAAAAATATAACAGAAAGCAAGCGAATATATAATGGAAAGTAAGCAAGTGTTAAGTAAATGTTTTATTTCTTTTGTCTAAAAATTAACTTGTTAAAAAAAAAACGTAAAACAAATAAAAGTATTTTCACAATTTATGTGTAATTTGTTCAAACAGGATAATTGAAAAAAAAAAATCGTTCAGAGCAGCGGTACCCTGGTTTAGCAAAAACGGGCCAATTGTTCAAACAAACTGGGAATCATTGTAAAATATAGCTGTTTTACATTTTATATAATCATAGTTGTTTTCAATCATTTTCTTTTAATCACAAAATTTAAATTTAACAAAATACTAGTAAAATTCTTAGCAACAAATATAAAGCAAATATATAGAACCTGAAAGATCAATTGATTTGTGATCATTTTAAAACTGACGAAAATTTTTGGTAAGCTTATAAATTAATTTTCCTAATAAAAACTTTAATTAAAAAAAGGAACTTTATTTATAATGTATCAAATTCGAAATGAGAATAACTAGAGAATAAATAGGGAAATTTTCGGGAGAGTCTAAAACGTGAATATATTGGAAAAAAGACAATATGTTTTCTAAAAAATAAGCTCATTTTAGAAAACATTTTTAACAAAACAAATATGTATTTTTATAGGTACAGTTTTTCTAAAGGTTTTTTTTTTTTTTTGATATAGACAACTTTTTTCAAGAATTGACTGTTGTGCCTCCCCCTCCTTCACTTCGAAACCCGTGTCGTCGGCCCTGCTTTTGACGGTCTGGATATATATAAAACACAATCGTTGTTAGAGAACATCTTTAATAATTTATTTATGATTTGCTTCATTTTCTGCAATTCTTTAATATATTTAAACAGTTTCAAGATCATCTTTGTTTTATATTTTATTACTTTTTTATAGAATTTGCAGAGAAGTTATAAAATAACTCCCACCCAACACTATTTGAAACATATAAGTATGTCTAAAACTTGATCAAAAGTTTGATCTTAAATATAATGGTAACTAGTAATGGTAGCTACTACCTAGCGTAACTTTTCCTGCTTAAATCATGCTGAGCATTTTCTTCAACTGTTTAGTGAAAACCATAATTTGAGAGTTAAACTTACAAAACTTAATACAAAACTTACAAAAAATAAATTCTAAATTTTGTATTAAGCAAATGTGCAAATTTTGTGAATACGAAATAAGTAAGTTAAAAACTTACATCAAACTTAGGCCTACAAATGTTTGGTCAATCTGCACTCAGATGTGCATTTCCAAATTCGATCTCTTGCACATTTATTTTTTTTTTAATTTTTTTAAATTAAATAAAAAAAAAAACATTTTTAAAGTTTTTTAGATATTATATGCATAATATATACATAAAGATATTGTATCCGTTTTTAAAAAAAACCAAACTTTAGAAAATAGTTTCTTTTGACTTGGAACTGTTCTTAAAATTAAATGTGTTGTTATTAGGAAAATGTTTATTTAGTTATACTTTATTGTTTAAAGGCTAAATATACTTTTTATTTAAAGGGATGGTGAAAAGGATTGATTTCAATCTATTTTCAATTTCCAGAGACTGGAAAGTATTTAAAAATTAATCATTTTCTTTAGGGTTTTACATGGTATTAAATATATAACATTACTATATTTAAATTTGACCATACTTTCGTAAATTTTCTAATTACATCCCATTGGAAAATCAAAAAAAAAGTTAAAGAGTCTTTTTTTTCTAACTTTCTTTAATTTTCAAGATTTTATTTTTTTAGATTCTACTGCGACAGAAGATTTTTATATAATGCGATATTTTCAAACAGCACTAGTTAACATAGACAAACGTGATGATTTTTTTCCCTAAAATTTGACTTAAACTTAAATGATTTAAAAGATTTAAAGGATAGCATCTTTACTGTAAAAGTTCTATAAAATAAGAATTTTTTTTTCTTTTTCTTCATTATGTAAACCTGCCTCTTCAAAATTTTAGTTTCAAACTCTCATAATTTAACTCAGTATCATAGTTTTTAGATTTTAATTTTAATTCTACCGGATTTAGTAAAGTAGCCTTTTACTAACGGCTACTTTACTAATGGCTGTAGAGTTAAGTTTAAAATATGGTTACTCCAAAGTCAATTGAGACAGCTTACACTTTGTAGGCATAATCTGCAGTCACTGCAACTAATTTGTTAAATATCATCAATTTAGTCAAATCATTTTTAATGAAACGAGATTCAGATAAAAAGACACTTGTCTGGCAACAAACTTACGAAAACTAATCATTAAAGTTTCAAAGTTAAAGTTATTGTCAAAAAAAAAATGTAACGTAAGCTCTAAAATTGCGTGAGACGTTTCTTTTTTCACAGTTCTGTTGATAATGCAAGATGTTGAATTTTTTTTTTTTTAAATAAACACTCTAATATATTTTTTATATAGATCAGAAAGTTGCGTGTAAATTGTTTGCCTTTGTTGAGGCCTATAGCCTGGGACTTGTGAATATAAAACTTTTAACATTTCATTTTTTTTTGAAATGCTCCAATTAGCAAGCAGTCTTTAATCAGACAGTTAGATGCTTTCTCAGCATCTTTCTTTTGCCTTTTAGAAGATATTAATTAAAATTTGTTGTTGGCGGCGTTAATCATTATCAAAATGAAATAATAACCTTTCCTAATATCCAAGGTTTTATCTATTATATGTAAGTTATACAATTGAAAAGTTTAATTTTAATTAATCGTAATTGCCAAAGGGGCATATACATATAAAGTAGCAGTTATATACATAAGTTATAAAACAAAACAACATTATAAGTAATTCTTTATGAAATTATTACAACCATTAAATTTGTTCATCATCAAAACCGTATCTTTAGGGCAATCTCTGAATTGGCTGCAACCGTTTTGGAAGGTGGTTAGGTTGCATATGAGATTGCGTTACAATATTCATTTCCGGACTAAGTAAGGTCTTTTTTTGTGTAACTGGAAATTTGTCGAGCTGTGAAGTATGTTCTGAGTGGTTGGTACTATTTGTATCAGTGATCTCATTATCCGAACGGGGAGTTTCATTATCTCTTATTGGCACTATATCTTTTATAGATACTGTAGATTCTCTTCCGCCTGTAAATTTGATGTGCACATACTGAGGCTTGGCTTCTATTAGTTTAACTTCTTCAACTAGAGGATCGTATTTGCTAGATCGAAAATGTTTCTCCACAAAAATTTTTCCCTGTTCTAGCAGCAAGGTTGAGATAGATTTTCCGTTTGAAGATCTTCGTCGAAAATTGAAAAACTTTTCATGTAGCATTTGTTGCAGTGCACAATAATATTCGTATTGAGTGTAATGCATCTTGTAGCAAAAATTCCTAGTTTGCGACTGATAGATTTCTTGATTTGAGAGCTAGTGTTACTGTTTTCATTACTATCCCGTTAAAGTGCTCTACCAGTCCGTTTTCTCTAGGATTATAAGGTGTTGTTCTGCTTGTTGGAACATCTCGAGTATGCAGAAAACTACGAAGTTCTTCTGATATCAGAGAGCTGCCTCTGTCAGAATGAACATAAGCAGGGGTGCCAAACAAGGAGAACAAGTTCACAGCAAAATCCAAGATTCTTGTTTTAAGCAAAAAAAAGTCTTAAAACAAGAAAAAAAAGGCTTTTCGCCTCGAAAGAATTTTTTTTTTATTTTAGGAATTTTTATTCTTAAAATAAGAGTTTTTCTTGTTTTGAGAACTTTTTTTCTTATACATTTTTTTTTTCTTGTTTCAAAAATTTTTATTCCTAAAACAAGATTTTTTTTTTTCTTTTAAGAACATATATTCTTAAAATTATAAATTTTTTTCTTGTTTCAAGAGTTTATATTCATAAAAAAATTTCAATTTTCTTGATTTAAGTTGTTTTTACTTAAAATAAGATAATATTTTCTTGTTTCAATAATATTTTCCCTGAACTATTAAACAATATTACAAGAGTACTTTTTCTATAAAAAAAAATGAAACATTATTTTGAAATTAGGATAGTACAGAGTGACCAGAATTTTCTGTCACGTAGTAAAATTGTCATAAAAACGACTAAATTTAAAAATAGCGAATAAGATTAAAAGTTAACTTTATACTAACAACTAGCAATCACATTACAACATTAGATTTTGAAATAAACACCTATAGCTTTAATACAGTCCCAAGTCTCTTAGGAAAATCGTTGACTGCGCCGCGTAGGTATTCTGAAGATAGATTGTTTCATTCCTTCTGAAGTGCTAGGCGCAAAGAGTCCAATTCCTATGAAGAATAGTACAGGCCTTGGTCTTCAAAACTGACCACACGCAATAATCCAACGGGTTGAGATCTGGCGAGTAGGAAGGCCATTCTTGGGCGCTGATAAAATCTATAAAATTGTTTTTACACAACTTTAGCCTTTTTGAATAACTTTAGCCTTGCGGGCAGGAGCTGAGTCCTGTTAAAATGTCCAGGGCTTTGCACCAAAGTTTGATTGGGACCATGGAAGTATTTCTTTTATAAGGACATCATTTAATTAGATTTGACTGTTAATTTTAACTCCAGAATCCACAAAAACTAAAGGAGGTTTGCCATCCAAAGTTATCCCCTCCGAAAACCTTATTGAATTGCGGATGTCCTGAACGAGAAGCGATTCTACTCTTCATGTTTGCATCACTGATACTTCTGGACAATACCCG